ACCTAAAAAATAGTTCATGCATTGTGGTGGTTTGAACAGTTCACAGGCACTGATTCGTGAAGGATAAAAGAAAGAGCCATTGTCAATGACTCAAAGATCACTCCACACAATGAAGGACTGAAGGAGAATGTTGGATTTCAAAGTTCAAGAGTAAGAGAGTCAATTGTGAAGTGCTTGTAAGGTTTTTGAGTGTGTAATTACTCTTATAAATTTAGTAAATCATTTGGAGGGAGAAGAAAGACGAGTGCTCAACCTTATTGGTGTATTCCATCAAGATTTATATTTTCAACTCTTACTTTTAATATTTATAATAAATTAAATGTTATTTACATTATCTCCGAGCATATTTAGTTAATAGAACCTATTTTCTTCCTTGAGTTAGTAATATATGATTTTTGAGTTTGTCTTTTCTATTGTGATTTCTCCGTAGATTTATAGTGGTGATGAATTAAAATTCTTCCCTTAAGATTTGCAATCTGATGTGTTGTGATCTAGTTGTGCATTAGCAGAAAATCGAACTATAATGTTAATTCACACTAGTTTGGGAGAATAGCTTCTAGCTTATTTCCCTTGTGACGGGGGGTTTTGAGTTAATAACACTTGATTTAGGGAACTAAACTTCTATGATTACCAAACTTTATCAGAGGCCTGAGGGGTGAGAAGAAAATTGCTTTTGATTGTCAACCACAAATTGAATCACTTAGTCAGACTAAGGTTCTTGAGTAACCAATTAAGATGAGAATCTCAAGTGTTAGAAAACTTCCTACATTTTCACCTTGTTAACCTAGGTTTCACTTTTCAAAACTTATGTTTAATAATTTTTAAAATAACAAAACTTCAAACCTTTGAGCTTTATGAAATTCAGGAGTTTGTTCGTTCCTCATGAGATTGATATACAGACTCAATTCGGTATACTACTTGAACGACACATATACTTATGTTTATCGCTGGTTTTTCACAGCATTTCGGTCGTGCCACAAGCCAAAAATCACTATAATTTGATCTCCAATTATATAGTAAAACATGAATTTTTCAATATTTATAAACAAAAATGATGTAAATTTTTACTATAGGCTCTCTGTACAAAGAGTGCTTGAATAATGAGTCATGAAGACTAAACAATCATGGAAAGTTTAGTAAAAACAAATTTGAAGTTATAACTTCTTTAATCGTGAGGGCCCCCAGTTAGAAGCTCCTCATAAGTGTTGGCCCATATTTATTTCTCCACATTAGAAATGAAGTTTGTTAATTTTGGTTATGATCACATATATTTATTTATTTTTATGTAGTTGGTAATTCTTTGTAATATTGCATTGATTTCTATGTATTTGAGATGGTGATTCGTTGACAGTTGAATTACACCTAATATAAACTTTATTTGTCCAATACAATGAGGAGAATTGCAGGAGTTATTGGCATTAATATATAGCACCCTTAGATTGATTGCTTGTGGGTGTGCCAATACCAAATCCATTTTACGAGTCAGCGGTACCACATTTGACGTGGAAGCCTGTGTCACATAAATTATATACTAATGCTCCAAGTTCAACGGTTGAAAAATGAATGCATTGTAAGAAAATTAAAATAAAATATGTAGTGTATTTTAAAAATAAATATTACTATTTAGATGAATTCATCTTTGTTGTGAGATATGTACTTCCCGGTATAGAGATGAGACGAAAAAGAGCACAAGCAAACACAGATCGTTTACGTGGTTCGATCCAACTGGATCTACGTCCACGGAAGTACATATCTCATAACAACCTTAAATGCATTATTATTTTTTTTCTAAATATTTACGCTAAGAGAAAATTTTGACTATTAAAAAATTGATAATCAATATTGTTTTCGATGTGACACAAAATACTTAAATATGAAAGTTAACATGAGATGTATAAATTCATAAGAATGCATGTTATGCATGTTATGCATGTAAATGCCCGTAAAACTTTTGAGTAGGAGGGGGTAGCGTCTGCTCGCGTGCGGTAGACAATAGTGTTGTGTGGCAATTGTTGCAGTGGCGATATCTGACGGTTATGGCAATAGGTGGTAGCCATCAGTGGCAACAGTTAGTGACCGACAACTGCTGAGACGTCATCAATAACTTTTGTTTATGGTTTATTTAAAATTGTTTGTATATCAAATTTAAAATACACTAAAATTATTACTAAATGTTATTTATAAATTTTATTATAATTTATATTATTTTTTTCTTCACAAAATAAACATTAGCCGTGAGCATTCAGTAGGTTCGCATAGATTGGTTTTAAAATTGGTTAAATTGACTATAACCAAAATCCATAATAAAAAAACCGAACCAATTTAAATTTAAATAAAACTTAGTAGATTAAACCGAAACTTAATTCTATTTAAACAGTTCGATTATGAAAAAACAGAAATTTAATTTTTTATTGAAATTTGACTAAAAACAAGCATTACAAATCACATATTTTATTCACATAATATATATTTATTTCAATCAAATATTAGATGTAATAATTATTTTTAATTCTATAGTTGATTCCACATGAAATTAAGATATAATAAAAATTTTTGATAAAATTTCAATTTTTTATTTTTTTTCAATTAAATAAAAATTAAACCGAAATTCAATTTTGAACTTGAACCAACCAAACTTGATTGATTTGGTTTAATTTTTACTAAATAATGCACGCTCCTAATAAACATTTATAATATAAAAACTCTTGTATTTAAAATAGGGTATTCTTTTTACAGCAAACTAAATAATCACTTAATAAAAAAATTAAATCACAGACCTAACTCATGAAATGACTCCTTTTAAAATATTGTGAGATGAGATGCGTCATCCTCCTAAATTTCCTTCAAAATGCCTATTTAAAAAAGTATTTATATAAAATATATTCAAAATATGTTGAATGTAAATATTTTAACCTTAAAACATTAAAAATATTTAAAAAATAATAATTAAAATTTTATATTAAATGATATCTTATTATTTCATTCATGAATAATTAATTTATTCATCATTTTAGAATAATGGTTCCGTCCCAGAAAAACAGCCTATTTAATAGTCAAAACCCAAAAGTAAAAGTTGTGAGAAAAATTAGGTGATCCATCTAATTCCTATTTTATTAATTCAAAATTTTGATTTTTTTTTTTTGGTCACGAGAAGTTTATTTTGGTCATTTTAATCAATTCTGCATCAAAATATGATGATAAATTTTTTTTCATATTACAAAATGCATGAAAATGTCGTTAAAATTATGTCACATGTCCGAAAAAATGAGTTTAATTTAGAAATCTTACTTTATAAATTGCAAAAAGTCTGATTTATTTTGGACAAGTGTCGCATTTTGAAACGATGTTGATGTTTTTTGCCTGAATGCAATCTTGCTTGGCAAACCAAAATGATGTGAATATGTCATAGATATTGACTTTAAAATTTCATCGTGTTTAGAAAATAAGAAACTTTGCGTACGTCAGAATATCACTGCACAATATCTTTCCCAAAATTCATCCGTCATGCAGCTGGAAAAACTTTGCCTACTTGTATGCATAGCTGTGTACATTTATAAATTATAAATATGTTACAGAGAAGATATTAGGAGATTATAACCTCGTTATAACCTCTGTAATCTATCTATATATAAAAACAGAAATACGGAACTTACTAGAAGGTACAGAGAGGTTACAGGGTTGTTACAGGGGCTATAACATGGTTATAATCTCCAAATATCCACCCTATAACCTATTTTCAAGTTACAGACGTACGCAGCTCTGCGTACATCTTATGTATGCAAATTTTTTCCCATGCAGCTTCACTCAAAGCTCAATTTGGCTAAAAAAAAAATTAAGAGAAAAATTCGTACACAAACATATATACATATAAAGCTCGGGCTTTAAGATTGTAGTATGTGATAAAAAAGGTCGAATCGTATCCTCATGATATATCTATTCTATTAAGCTCACAATGAGATGTCTGAAAAATGTTGTGTTTCTTAAGAATGGGACATAGCTAGAAATGCACCATACTTTTTATTGAAAATATTGTTGCATTCATGCTCAAGGATAATGTTTAGTAATTTGTTAATTGCTACTTTTGAATATGTTGTTTTAAAGCAACTCATGTATCAAACCTCAAAGAGACTAGCTTTTTTATCTAGTTGAAGAGGAACTCAAGTATGGCGAGGGGACGTGAGGATGCTCGCTTTGTGATGAAAGTTACCTCTCAGTCTGAAAGTGGTTCTCGAAAACTTAATGTCTAAACAAAACAGAATAGGACCGCCCTAC